AGTCCATGTTCCCTTGATAATAGCTTGTTCTCTGTTTTCTTTCCCTAGCTTCTTCCTTCCCCTGAACTCTAGAGAGAAGCAGCCCTCTATCTGGCTGCACAGCCCAGTCCTTGGCGGATCCTTGAGCCTTTCCATGTCTGAGATGCTACACAAGTCTGGCTTCATTAATGTCTCATGAAATCCAGCATCTGTTCTTCCAAAACTTCCCTGGTGATCCCAGTTCTATTAAAACTGCTATTTTACTAATTCAGAGCACTGGCTACACAAATTCCATGGCCTGAGTTCAAAATCCAAGTCCACATAAAGGGAAAGAGCTAAGTCCACAACGGTGTCTCTGACATCACCACATGTGCACTGTGGCACATGTCTATTCTACATCCACATTATACAGCCACACCCAATGAATACAGAACTCTTTAAAAAATCAAGGAAGGCGAGGTCTTGAGATGTGCATTCATTGGTGCTTTCTGCAAAAGCAGGGGATTTTGAGTTCAGACTGTTAGCAAGCACATAAAAGGCTGGGTACAATGGTCCTGACTATAGTGTCAACCCAGGGAAGTAGAGACAGGACGACCCCTAGAGTGCAATGACCATTGAGCTAGCCAGAAATATCACACTGTAAGTTAAATAAAAAAGTTGTCTCAAAAAAATTTTGGAAAGTGTTTGAGGAAAATCCCTGATCAAACTCTTGCCTTCACATACACATGCATGTACAAACCTATAGGCACACAGGCACACAGGCACACACACACACACACACACACACACACACACACACACACCAAAAGTCAAACACAGAAAGATATGGATAATTATATTGGAAAGGATCTGAGCTCAGAATTCACATATGACCAGATAAGGGAAGGCTCTGGCTCCTACATCTATACCTCAACTATCTTCCCTGATGCTGTGCATCTGTAATGAGGCTAGATGATGGACTTATGCTTACAGTAAACTTCTACAGCCTTTGTGTATAGCCTTCTCCATTGTGGTCTATGACTAGCCAAGTGCTTGGTTCCTGGGTGCTAACCAAATCCTGCATGGAAAATCATACTCCTCTTCCAGCCCAGTCTGTAGTTTGCTTTCAAATACAAATTCATGTGTTATGGAGATATATTCAAATTAGTATGCAAATGAAAGCAAAGCAGACCATCAGTTGGCTTATACCTCAAATGCTCTTTCAAAATAACAAATATTCATTTCTAGGAATCACCTGACAGAAGCGTTACCTAATTAGCACAGTCACTATGACCAAAACCCAAATCCTACCTAGTCTGTGATGGCTGTCTGAAACAGAAGGTAGGGCCACCAGATGGAGAAGCTTCTGGGTCTTCCCTCCACAGGAAGCAGATGCTGAGGAGACTGTGCACATGGTGGGTCTGTGCCATCTGGGCTTCTCTGAGCAGATGGGGCACAGCTACCCTGGTGGGAGCACAGCTGGGCTCCAGGCTTGGTACTGAGACTGCCCTGTGCAGATTCTCCACACAGAAGCTGCTCACTCTGACCTGACAACTCGGAGCCAAGCAGCCCTCTTTCTACCTTCCTCCCAGAGGGTTTCACAGTGAAGGCTCCAGGGACTTCTGCTAAGGCTTATCTAGTGTTCCTCGGCTGGCTTTGCTTTCTCAATCCTTTACCTATTGATCCTGTTGCTCTGTCCATTGGGGTGATCTTCACCATTGGAAAGGACTGAGGAGCACTGCTTCTGGTCTCATATGGCCCTCTGAGAAAATGCTCCTCTATCTTGGCTATTCCTAAATTGAAGACCCCTCATTGTTTCCCAAGACCTACACTAGTGTTTTGGATTTCTGGAGATTCATTGGAA